AGGAGCTCGCACAAGTAGAGGATCTCAAGAGGGGCAAAATGAAATGCAGCGAAGTGCAGATGCGCTTTAACCCTTTTCGGAAACCGTGAATTTTGGGTTATGTTTAATATACAAAATTAGAATAGTTAACAAAAATACCATTGATGTAATTTATTTTATAATTTTAGAGCACTTATTAAGTCTTCATTCGTATTTTACCTGACTTTTTAGAGCACTTTTAAAAGTAATATTATCTCTTTCAATATTTTTAAATTATTCTAGATCTTCCGATTAAAAGGGGATCTCATTGCCGATAAAAGAAGAAATATAATTCAGACAAATCGTATAATTTCGCTCGTTGATGCTGCATATAATTAATTTTCAAGGTACGTTTGTCTCGATATTTTATACTACCCTGACTGCTGCTTATCCAAATTCACACTGAATATTGCTATCTACAACTGCTTTTTCGTCTTTTAAAACTTTCTAACTCTTACCATCACTCCTATTATATGCTACACCTTTTATTCCCTTTACAAACCCCTTATCATAGTGAATATATCCCTCAATGAATACCCTTGCCAGCCCAAACCAAACCATTCAATTGCCTTTCCATGTACCATTTAAAATCCATTCAGTGTAGAGAGACACCCGTGCAACAAGAGGGAGGGACAAGGGCAATGACTGCCACCTTGGAGAACATATTCTCAATATATATGCGGGGAGTACAGAAGAGCCAGAGGATGATATGGCTGTAGATGTGGCTGTGGAGAAGGGATAGGTATTCATGTGGATGGAGAGCAGCTGGAATGGACGTTCGTGGGTCTGTGGGCTTTGGGTTTTGCGGGGCGTGTACTTACATGCGCTTTTGTCCGGTGACCATGGCAATTAAATCTAAAATATAAGCTGGGATATTGTGCAAGAAAAATGCAATTGCACAATGCAGAGGCTTCGATGGTATTATAACGTACGAGAAGCACCTGTGACAATAATGCGGTCGATCGAAGGATACCCGTATGCAGCAGGGACAGTACACAGAAAGCACAAAGGATGTGGCATGTGGGTAGAGGATTCTCCCAACCGTTTGCCATTTCGGTTCGATTTGGTTTTAGTTTGGAAATTCAATCGCACCGCATCGCCGGATATTTTACATTGTTTAAATCGTATTTTTTGTGTGTGTTTGTTGCAGAGAGTTTCGTTTCCGTTTCGGTTGTTTCAAGGTATTAGCAGGGAGCGACAGATAAATATTCCGATGCGGCCAGAAATCCAACAATATTTAAGCATTGGATTAGACATGCCATACAGAATGCGGCCAACGTTCGTGTTCCGTTTTGTTTTTTTTTGTCATTTTTGTGGAAAGAGAATTCAATAAAGAATATTTCATTTATAAATGTTGGAATGTTTTTTAGCGAAGTGCAGATTTTTCTTTTATTTTTTGTATGCTCACCAAAGCGCCTTGTCGAAGGGCTCGTGAAAGCCTTTGCGCGACAGTCGCATGTACTCGCCCCAGGTAATGTTGTTCACATCGGATACGTAGTTGTAGACGGGTAGTTCTGACTTGGCATCCGTTTGGGTCGCACGTATCTTGAATCTGGCAAGAAAACGATGACAATGCAGGAGATTATAGAAGAAGGAAATTGATTTATAAATCAAGCCAAGAAATCATATCTGGTGCATCTTTTGACTCTTTAAATCAATCAATTGTTAAATTTATTCATTAACCACTCAACTTGTATTCTGTTAAGCATCTCTCTCTCCACTACAAATACAAGTAAATCTCTCACTCGCAATCTTCATCGCGATATCCATCCATCCACCCACCCTCACCCAAATACTTTCTCAATGTATCTCTGCATGCCCACAGCTTTATACCCCGCCTTAATTTCCCTGCCTTTGGTATTTACGAAATTTTCCAACTTCTTTGCTTTTTTTTTTTACATTTTTTACTTGCTTTTCGCAAACATCCGAATGCTATCAGCTTACGGCTGGGAACTCTTTTACAACTCTTTTTACACATCCTTTGGCACCGCTTCCGCTCTACGTGCAACATCGTGAGTGCTAGTATGTCTGTGTGTGTGTGTGGCACTAACCTTCTGGCTATATCCCAAGCGGTTGCTATCATGGCATTCACCACATAATCGGCGGGCACCATGTTCGCCTTGCATTTGGCCGTACCGTAAATGCAACGGACGAGTCCCCGGGCAGACCAAGTGCATAAACCTGATGGCCCGTACAAATTATCAGTCCAGCCGGGAAATGGATCCTTGTACGTTGACATTACTGCAAATAAATAAGAATTAATGGCTGGCTGCTTTGTTCGAAGGGAAGAAGGACAGCTCCTTTTGTTTGTGTGTGGAAAACGGAATCGGAGTTGCAGTCCGGACTTTGGTTGTTGATTTTAGCCAACGTCAAAGCGATAATGGTTTCAAACCGGTATGGCTTTGCCATTGCCATTCCCTTTATGGAATTTCCTTTTCCATTTGCCAATGTCCGACTTCCAATTGCAGGTTTATGTATTGATTTTTCACAACTTTTAAGACTGTATCGAGTTATCATTATAGAGATTTTTAAGCTACAAAATAATCATTTTATTTAGGGGAAAATCGTCCATTTCCATTTATGGTTAGAGCATTCAATCTTCTAACAGTTATTGCCACATTTTGACCATTTTTTCCACTGTCTTTTCTAGTTTCCACTGGGCACAGGAGGCAGCTTAGGATACTGACTGCTGCTGCAGCTCCTGCTCCTACTACAGATGCTGCTGTAGGATGCTTTGGCATTTTTGTGTGTTAAAATAAATGAAAATTTGTTTGTGCTTTGTTCCTCGAGAGCATTGGCAGACTCCTCTTCCTCGTTGCGTTCCGTTACGTTGCGTTTAAGGATAGAACAACTTTTTCCACATGCATTTATCTGGTAAACCCAAAGTCCTCTCGCCCTCTCAATGTACCGCCACCCCCCCCACATCGAAACTCCCAAACGAAGACAATGCTGTTGGCCATTTTTCACAACATTTTAAATATTCCTTTTTTTCCTGAAAGGAGAGAGAGTGGAGAGGAGAGAGGCGGACCCTGGAGTATTTACTGGCAGGCAGCAGCCACTTTCTCCTCCTCCTACTGCCATGTGTTTGTGTTTTGTTTGCACTCTTGCACATGCCCCTGGGGTATTTGTGCTAATTATCTGACAATTAGTTTGTTAAGTCAAGTCTGAAACCGCAATAAATATACCAGACAAGCAGGCAGCTCCCAGCCCCTTTAGGTCCCCTAGACACCACCCACGCACTCACCTATGGGCGGTCGAAAGATACCTGCTGGCATATGCAGTGCCCGATGATTCACCAGATTCTCTGCACATTTCTTGGTCATTGTATAGGTGTTGGGCATTTGTCCAATGAGGCAATGGCGCATCTTCTCCAGCGTTTCATCATCAAAAGTGCGATAGATCTGCAAACAACAACAAAAATTGTACAAAAAGCAAGGAGAAGCGAATATATTTTCCAATTTAAATAACTGTCATATCAAAAAATTGTATGCCATGAATGCACAAGTGGTGGTGCCTATACCCTTTGCAGGGAAGGGGTTTACTATGACTATGATTATGTCTGAGGGGTTTGAACAGAGCAAAAATAATCCTCAAAATTCATATTTATCCAATGCGGAAAAAAAGTCAGCAAAAGATCAAGTTAACCTGATCTCCTTTTTCTTACACGAACACAAAAATAAATGTTATCTTTATATGCGAATTTTCCATGCAAGCAGATTGGGTTGAAAAATAATATTTATCCACACCATCAATTTTCAAATCAAGCTAAAATCCTTTGAATTTAGTGGCTAAATAAGTTCGAACTGTTTGTTTTCACTTGTAAACACGTTGGGAATTATAAAACCCATAAAATGGTAGATTTTCGGCCGATTTTTGTCATTCTATTGCTGTGATACCAAGACTGCAACAAAGTGTACCTAAACTTCATCGTGGTTTTGTCTCATACATTTTTGTGGCGATATTTTTGTCCCACATATTTTTATGGGGCACATTACGTACCTGTATGATTTTTTCGTAGCCAATTTCGTTCTCGTACACTTGTTCGTTGATAAATTTGCGATTGCAGTTGCAGTACAGTGTCGAAATGTGAACAAACGACTGTGTGTGTGTGTGTGCCAGAGGCGTAGGAGTAGGTGGTGGTGGCATCAGAGATCGTCGTGACAACAGAGGGCAGAAATCGAACGCATACATGTCCGAATGTTGATTGAATTGTGTTGGAAATTGTTTGCCCGCGCATTCCCGCAAAATATGCAAATACAAAAGAGAGAGGGAAACAGTCAGTAAATATTAAAATACAGATGCATATGTGCATATGTATGTACAACTATTTTTATATACATCCGCCACATTGGGAATTGTAAATTTTTGTTACTTAACTGCGCGATATGCGAATATTTATTTTTTCTTTTTCATTTATGAACTGGATTCAAATATGTTAACAGAAAATCAGTGGAAGGAAGCTTTAATTAGCTTTACGTTCCTTCGCAGTTCCTAAAGTAAAAACGTAAGGAACGTGTAAACATAACAGAAGTAATAACAGTATAAATAATAAAATCAATTATAAAATAGGCATGTTTGAAGCCGTACAGGAGCATGGGGCCCCTACGGAAAGCCACGCAGCTATTTCCCATTTCCATATCTTAAGAGTGAGCAAGCCGATGGAGAATAACCAGAGAGTTTCTCAAAGATTAGCATGAGAACCCGCATGGAAGATAACTATTTAGACGAAATAAATTCAATTAGCTCAGATGATGCATGGACGCCCATGGGGAGAATTATTTACGTGTTTAACACAAAAATTCCTGAGCCTGTGACACTAAAATATAGAATGTTCTTTTCCCGGGACAATATCTTCTTCTGTTCGCTGATAGTTTTCCTCAGTTTTTATTTCAAAAACTTCAAAATTGTGTGTATCGAATTTGACGTTATTATATCCGGCACTTGGATATTAAATATGTAGTGTAGTACATTCACTCAACTACACAATTTGTGTCAAATGCCTATTCAGTACTTTTGAAATCCTATCAACATAACCACATCTGATAAAGTTGTCAACAGAAAATAGTTCCAAAAAACAGTAAGGCAAGGAACGTGTAAGCGAAACGAAGTAAAATTATAACAAAATAAATTATTTACCTAAATTTGTGTCAAATACCTTGTCAGGACCTTTGGAATTCTATCAACATAGAGACCTTTGCCAAAGTTGTTTCCAAAAATAAAAAGGCAAGTAACGTGTAAGCATAACCAGAAGTAACAGTGAGCAAAAAAAGATAATATTCACCTAAATTTCAAAGCTGAAAAACTACGCAGTTTGTGAAATTCTACCAACATAGCTACATCTGCTAAAGTTGTTGACAGAAACAGTACCCAAAAATTAAAACACCAGGAACGGAATAATAAAAAGAAAGAAATAATAGTTCACAGTAATTTGAAGTAAGCGAGAAAAAACCCGGAGTAGGAAAATATTATAAATGAATTAACCGAGTCTCATCTTAGAACAGATCAAAAAGATGACGGTTAGCAAGCTTGAGAAAAAGTACCCCGAGAGTACGGCAGAGATTAGCGTGAGTCCCCGCATGGAGGAGTATCATTCAGACGAAATAAATTCGTGGACGCCCATGGGGAAAACCATTTATCTGTGGAAAACCAAAATCCCTCAGCCTGTGAAGCTGGGCAGCCATGTGAAGCCAAGAAAGTATAGAATGTGCTTTCCCCGTGACAATAATTGGTCATATGCATTTTAATTTTCTTTCGTTTAATTTTAATGTTTTCAATTCAATGTTTTAGTTCCAATATTTGTTTCAAATGTGTTGATGTAAATAAATGAAGTTATTTTGAGTTGGAAATATTCTTACCTTCAACTGCTTCATTTCCATGGCCAAATCGAGTATTTTCTTGGTGCCCAAGACATTTATATCAATGGCATCGCTTAGCTTCTCATTGAATTTCACCGATGCCACAACATTAAAGACAATCTACACCCCAACACACACACATAGGGCGAGATAGAGGGGAAGGAAGAGAGTTAGAGATAAACCAGAAGACCCAAAGAATTGTAATGCATATTAGAAATTGAAAGAAAATTCGGTGTGGAAAGCAGAAGAACAAAAGAAAATACTCATGCAAAATGCACAAGAGATGTGCATACAAAGCAGGCAGCAATCGAGTGGGCCCTAGCGGCTGCGAGGGGAGTTTTGGGGTCTGCGTTTTGTGATAACCTCAAAGTCAGCAACACACAACAGCCACCAGATGCAGATGCAGTTGCAGGGGAAGAGCTGGGACAGGCACAGAAGCTGGGATTGTGGCAGCCAGCAGCCAGCAGCAGGAACAGGAGAAAAAAAATGTAGAAAAATGGGAACTGCAGTGCGACGCGTGCATCGAACATCGACAACAAAGCAATTTTAGTTTTAAAACAGTGCAAGCGACGGACTAAGCAGGACCAGTCAGGCCTCGGTCCTGAGTGACTTGTATGCAAAATGTTTTCACAACAAAAAAAGAAAAAAAAAGAAGCGACGGACGACCAACGGATGCGGATGCGGATGCGCCAGGCAGTCAGTACAGGACAGGACAGGACAATGGCTCGCGCGCATGCCAAGCACTTGAAGCATGCACAGGAATTTTCATTTATTTATATATTGTGTTTTATAACCGAACAGCAAGAGTAGGTCCTGTAGGAGCATCAGCAGAAACAGCAACAGCAACAGCAACAGCAATGGGGGCTGGAAGGTTTGGGTACTGGACTGTAGCTTCACTCTGCTCTATACATTTTCACAGTTTTACGTGTGGCGGCGGGTTTTCAATTTTTGTTGAAAAGTACCAATATATATTTATATATATATGTATATGTATATACATATCGTACACGTGTGTATCGTGTGCCTCTTGTGATCAACGAAACAACAAAAACAAACAGCAAGTTGTAGGGATTGCAACGACAAAACGACTCAAAGATACCCTTAAGGAAAAGGGAACTGTAGGCAAATGTTTCTCGTATTATCGTCTGATCAAGGCACAGATCTTTTTCTGTCAAAGGAAATTAGTTATAATTAAAATGAAGCTTTTTTTTTCGTTAGAGATCTCTTAGATCTCTTAGAGCTGTGAGTTCTAAGAGTTTATTTGAGTTTAAAGCCTCACACAGACACTGCAAATGCTCTCCTACACGAATCGTCCCAAAAACAGCACAGACCCCACTTTGTACTGGGTATTTAAAACGAGGGAAACGAATGAAATAAACTGACTGGCTGCCTGCCTGCTGTTGTCGTAAACATTGCGCCTGCCTTTGGCATGCAACGTTTTACGTATACGTAATGCACAGACCAGGGAGAGAACAGAGTGAGTGAGTGGCGGATGGGCAGGACAGGAATCGGGTGTGCCCCCCATACAGATGGGCAAACACAACAAAAGCCCATGAAAAAGTTGCTTCATACAAAAAGTCCATTGATTGAATTGCCAACAACCGTAGAAACGAAGAGAGAGAGAGATAGAGAGAGGGGGCCATAGTAGATGTCAAGGAAGGGGATGAGATAAAGAGAATGTTACTCTTACCTGGACCTCAGACGAGAGCATTGCTCGGTCGGCGGCATCAATGTCCAGGTCGATGGCACTGTAATCAGCGCGTATCGGATGCACCTTCGCCAACAAATGCGGTGACTCCTCGCGCATTCTATTGAATATCTGCAGAGCAGCAGCGGCAGCAGCAGGTAGAGTGCGAGAAGAAGAGACAATGGGTGGGGTGTGTGGCACGTCAACATCGTCGTTGCATTGTTCCTTGCTCGCTCCTCCCCACACACAGAATTGACGTGGCATGGCATCCGTCCCGCATCCGTGTGAGGATGACACTTACCGATTCATTGAAAAATCCCTGCAAACGCTCCTGTACGCTCATGTTGTCCTTGCTGCGTATCAGCATGTAAATTTTACGCAATCCAAACGAACGGAGCAATTTCTCTGTTAACACTTTGCCAACGAAACCCGTACCGCCCGTAATGAGTACGGTGGCGTCTCTATAGAAATCCGTAACGGGTGTGCGACCGCCACCACTCGTATAACTTTCTGTGGCATCATCTGCTGCTGCACTGTTTGTGCTGGTACTTGAGGCAGTGGCTGCTGCTGCCTCCTCGAAGAGTGGCTCTTCCTCTGACTGATGGTCCTGCTCTTCCCCTGGCTGCTCCTCCTCCTCCTCCTCTGGCTGATGTTCCTCGTGGACAGAAGTAACTTCATTGCTGCCGCGTCTCGAAGAGCTGGTAGAGCGGAAGGCCTTACGGGTAGCTGTAAGGGAAGAGAGGATTGCAGAGAGATTCGAGTGTATATGGACTTCCTGTCTTCTCACTTTTATTAGGCTTCGTTTCGTGCATTTTACTGTTGCCTCTGAAAGATCCGATCCGTTCACTTCAAGGGTAAAAAACACATTGAAAAATTTTCAAAAATAAAGCCCCCGCATGCGGATTTTCCTTTACTTTTAATCAATAACCGGCAGTCATATATCATGAAAGATTTTCCCACCGTACATGTCCAATTATATGACACACACAGAGAGAGAGAGAGAGAGAGACTTCATCCCCCACCACCACTTCCTCCCCGTCTAACCCAATTATTATTATATATGCTATATATCCTCACTCCCAGTGGAAGGACATTCATTTCATTTTTATTTTAAATGTGCTTGTGGGGCTGACATTGTGGTTGCATTTGACCTGATGACCTGCGCCTGACCACCAGCCAGCGGATATGTCTGGGGCCAAAACCTCACGCTATTGTTGCTTTCTCTTTCTAGCAGCCCATCTCTATGCTTTTCGTGTGCTGTCCCTTTCGTTCGGAGGGACATTTTAAACAATGTTAATTATTCAATTATCAACACAGCCAATGCGGCGTGGTCGAGAGGACTGTGAGAGCACTGTGCCTGACCATCGTGTCCTTCTAACCAGAGGTGTGGCTGTATCAGTATGGGTGTATACTGTATGTGAGATGGTGCATCTGTGGACTGAGTGCGTGACTATATCCTGCCTCATCCCCTCGTGTGTGTCACAGTTGGTTCTTGTACATCGCGTGCCACTGCTGCTGCTGCCTCTCGTGGCGCAGCATATGTTGTTTGATTGTCAGCGAAAAATGAGCCACAAGCAGCAGGCAGACACACACAGACAATGCCTCATTGCGTGACATAGTTGTGGTTGTTGCTGTTGTTTCCTTTCATATATTTGTTGTTGGCAATATGCAGCAGCGTCTGGCCTTTGTTTGAATGGCCATAAAAGTGGGGGTACGGAGTAGTCGCCTGGTCGCCAAGGGGTCTATGGCATAGAAATTTAAACTATTTAAAGGGTAAATCAATACCAAAACAATGGAAACTCTTTAGGTTGAATAGCGGCCTAAACGCGAGCCATTTTTGTATGATTTATTGCAAGGGTTTCAAGCTGAGATCTTATCTTTTGATTATGGCATAAATTCGTGAAGAATATGTTGGATATTACCAGGAGATATTTATCTTTACTTTACATTTTCTTTTATGGAGAGAACCATTCCATTTAAAGTCTATGAAAATTTCTATAAATATATATATCCACGAAATCACATTGAGTTGTTTCGTTCCAATGATAATTGTGTGATTAATTGAGGGTTTATCTTCTATCTTCACATATCAAGTATTATGGAAATTTATACATGGAATCCAAAATCCTTTTTAGCTTATACATCATTTTGTAATATTTTACATAAAATGTAATAACTCTAATCTCTGGCCTTGTTAGCTGTTTACTAGACCTGTAACTTGATGTATTCCAGCTCTGCACATATTCAAAGCTTCAAAGTCTAAAGACTGTCTACAAATATTGAACAGTCTTTGGGCTTTCCTTCAAAACTGCACCTTTCAACTAAGCTTCCTCCCGCAAAAAGCTTCCCTTAAGACATATTTCACCTTCCGCCAAAGCCTTAAACCTCAGCAGAACCTAAACCCCAAGGTAATCTATGAGCTCGACACCTTCTAAGGGTTAAACAAAGCTTGCATTTCAAGCATCTTGAGCTTTAAAGTGGCCGCGCGGCATCCGGTTCGAGTCTCCACTAAACTGGAAATCTTTTGTGGTGCCACCGAAAAGCTTTACATAAATATATTTCGAGTCGAAAGAGCTTTCGCCTTAAGTTTCGATGTGGAAAAGTACCGTTTCTTAAAGGATAGATTCTAGCAAGCCATAAAAATGCAGGAAACTAGCTGTCGATGGAGCGGAAGCAGCCGGCCATTTGTGTGTTTCATTTCAACAATTAATGGCCGCTGCAACAGCAACAGTTAAAATAATAATTATAATCGCGTAATAATTCGTAATTAACATTCCCATCCCCCCATTTTTTGCGCTCTTTTGGGTTTTGCTTAATGACTTGAAATGTTTATTCGTTTTTCAGTTTGGTAATTTAATACGAGAATAATTACATTAATTAGCCTTTCTTTTTTGCTGTTTGGTTTAATGACAAATATTGTACACAAATACAGACATACATATACAGACATTGGGATACATACAACATACATATATATTCGGATTTCAATAATTTAATTTAAATGCTACTTAATTGATTTAAGGTGATTATCAGAGCTCGCAACTAAAAAAGCACTCCCGAAAAAAACCTTATCGTTCCTTTAGTTGTTATAGTTTCATGATTAGGCTTATTTGCGAGCTCTGTTTTAATTAGTTGGTACGTATTTCATTTTCAAATTTGATTTGGTGAAAGCTTTAATGTTTTAAACCATAGTTTCTTGTTTTTTTTAAGCAAAGTTTACACATGTATTTATGTTTGTTTTGTAATTGAAGGAACGTAAATTGTATCTGTAGTTGTCGAGTTATAATACTGTACAGGGGCCCGCCCACACTCTCTCACAATCGATACAAATCCGCTTCGAGCCATCTCCATTTATCCAGTGGATGCGCAATCACAATTCATTAAGACAAAAATCACAGATACCAATATCTTTCCATCACCAATCTTAGGGAGCATCTTAATGCTGATTCCATAGAGCCTCACTCTTGGGCAAGTGGACACGGGACACCTCGCTGAGAATGCAGGAGCCATCGCATTCAGTTTGACTGCCAATTACCTGCTCACAAATGCACCTGGTCCTGCAGTCCTCCTTGGAGCCCACTTTGCCGCTTAGCTACTCGCTGGGTGGCGTGTTCGATGGCAGCTCCATGAGCGCCATGTCATCCTCGCACTCGATAACATTCGGATGCAAAGGCTTGAAGTTGTTTCGTCGCCATGGCGGCATGGAGCTTATACTTGTCCCTGGAGCACCATGAACCGACGGACCAGCAAAGGTAACCACACTCTGATGATGCTGAAGATGATGGTGTCCTCCCGCAGCTCCTCCGTTGTTGTTCTGGCTGCAGAGGAGGCTCACGTTGTTGCCGCTGCCTTGGACCCCGTTTCGTGGTAAATGCAAAGAATTTTTGATGCCATTATTGACGGAACCGCCACCACGACCGGGAACACCGCCAAACAGATTGCTGCGTATGCGCATAGAGGAGTTGGCATAGGTGGATCTGATGGAGCTGGCACGAGTGTGCATCGAGAAGGTCCTCTCGTGGGCGTCGAGACTCGTCTGGAACTTGCAGAAGCACGCAGCGAATCGTTTATTGAATTCCCGCTTGAACTTCTCCTGCAAATAGGAAATCAAAGTTTTTTGTTTATTAGAAAACGGAAATCAGCCTCCCCATTCCCCCACCCCCACAAGCCGTATCAGTCTCTTTGGCTAATGAATGGTGGCTGGCAAAGAGCCGAGCCTCCAGCCCCTGCCTCAGCCCGCAAATGCTCTCCACTCCATTTGTCTTTTGGCTGGCAGTAAGAATAGAATATTTGTTGACAAAAGTTTGCAGTACGGGGGAAAAGTTTACGAGCCTTTCGTAGATTCAGCTCTCAATCTATCTTTCACAGACAATTTAAGTGTCAGAGCAAACTGCCGTAAGGTTCGTATTTTCCATTCGTATTTTTCCGTTTTACGGCTGCTGGTTCCCCGCTAAGTCCTACGATTTTTGTGGATTTCTGCGGTCGGTCTGTCACATTCCTGTCTGCGGCTTACACGGACTGTAGGTCCTTGTTTATGGGCTACAGTGGAACGTGGCTTTAATTAACTTTGACAAAGTATTTTTATGTTCCACTCCAAAGCTCCAAAATGCGAATAAATCAGGCAACAAACAAAAATAAATCAAATGTCAAAGGGAAATTGATTTTGAAGTTGGCAAGGAATTGAATTTGAAATGAACTTTCATTAGTTTGAATGCGGAATGTGATTAAGATAAGCTTTAATTGGGGAAATTGCGAAGAAGCTCATTTATTCGATTAAATTCGTTCTTTTAATTCCAATTTGGCGCTGAGAAAACTCGATTTTGAAATGATTTTTTTAGGCATGCTGCCGAAAGGTTGGTCTGATTTTTGACAGACCCACATCATTGTAAAAGATTGTCTAACCCTCCACTTTTCCATTTTCCATTTTTAGTTCCACTTTCGGGTATATTCCCTCGTGTTTGCCCATCATAAACACGGCCCCAGTGGCCAAATCACTGAGCAAACACAGGCAAATGCAAATGCAAATCAGGCAAATGTATCACAACTCAGGGACTCACATTGTAGATGCCGTAAATAAAGGGATTGTAGCAGCTATTGCTCATTGCCAGCCAATCGCAGCAGAACCAAACGATGCTAATGAAATGGTAGTCGTTGATTTCCGGTATCGTCACGTACAGAATATTATACAGCTGCAATGGCAACCAGCACAGACCAAAGATAATCACGACAATAATCAGCATTTTGATGACCTGCAATACACAGAGAGCGTGGTGAGAGTGGTGTGGGTGTGGGTGTGTGTGTGGGTGTGGCAGATTGAAAAGGAAATTAGAGTCCTTACCTTCTTCTTGTTTTTGAGCAGCGTTATGTCCCGTGAGTCCTGTGCATTGCCCGGAGCTCTTGTGCCCCACAATCTGACTGCCATTTGAATGTAGACGAAGCTGATGACACAAAATGGAACCAGATACTGCACAAATACCAGCGAGTATCGAAAGGTTTGCAACTGGTCATCCGATAGATTCTTGTTCATGCAAAAATTTCGTGTCACATTGTAGGTCTCATTGTTTTCTAACCCAAAGATGTGATAAGAATGATTATGATTACAAATTGTGTGGGACTCACCACGAAACCTTTCGGTTAACTCCTCCACACGAAAGGCTATGGCAAAGGGCACGGCAAAGAGCACAGCTAGCATCCAAATTCCAGCAATTATGAACTTTGATATAAACTTCGTAGGACGTGCCCTGCAAGCACAACATGGAACCAATTTCAGTGTTCTCCACCAAAAAATATTATGGTCAGACTTACCTAAGTGGATTAATGATGGCACGATGCCGATCTATGGCAATTGCCGTCAATGTAAACACCGAAACATTGACGCTCAACGCTTGAACGAACGGACAGAAGCTGCACATGAACCAAGGCAGATTCCAGCTCTGCAAAAGAGCCGCCTGAAACTGTAATGAAAGTAGAGCAGTGAGTGGGTTGATTCCGGATGATTAAGTCCAGACAGAAAATGTTCGTCCAGTCAAACCCCCTCTCTCGCTCTCTCGACAATTGTCCCAAAATGTCTGCTGCCGCCCTTATTTGTGTGTACCACACTCTGTGCGAGTGGTAGCCAGGATATTTCAGCCACGCGCCCGTGTCCTTGTTGTGTCCCAGCAGAAATTGCAATCATTTCGATGACCTTATTGACGGCTAACGTGCTGGCGTTTGTTTGCCAAATTAATGGAAATTATTTGCGAAAAATGTACGGAAACGTCAAGCGGGGCAACACAAAAAGTATGGGCGTTGTGAGGAATCGATTTTAAATTATTTGTTCACCCATTGAGGATTATTTTCTGTTAACTTAATCCTTAAACCTTCTTTTCTTTATGGCTTTATTCATTTTCAATTGAAAATACAATTCATTTTTGGCCTTGACAAAGTGCTTTGAATCGTAAGTAAATAGTAAATATTCTTCATGAATTCGTATATAAAAGATGCAATTACTTTTTGCATTTATTTGCATGAAATTAATTTACTTCGAACATAGCATAAGCTGCCTGCATCTTTTCCGGCTATTGGGTCGAGTTATTTAACATTTCATACAAACAAAGAAAAGCCCACACACAATCTATAGATAAATACTCCGTGTTTACATAACCCTAGATAATTGGCATTGTCTAACCACACAGAGAAAAGAGTTTTCGCATATTCAACAAATTTAATTTGCTTTCTATACGCACTTCCATTTGTTGAATACTAATCCCATTAGCACATACACCGAAAAATCTCATTAAAATTTGAACTACTAGGTAATATTCCATTATCATATGTAGTTAGTTGGGTCGTGAAATGGGATCGGAAGAGGCGCCTTTCTAATTCCAAACATGAACGGAAATTAAATTGATGCACGATTATGCCAGCCTCCCTGTGGCTATGCTGTGCTAGTGACAGTCCACCTGTCTGTCTGTTCAGGCTAATGTCATTTGCTTGTGTGATTTATGACCAACAAGCGAGTGTCAGTCTGGTGGGCATTAAAAATCATTCAAGTTCGAAATCCAACGTTGGCCCCCGAAACGAAATATAGTTAATTGCCAGTAAAAACAATAAACGAATGCACACGCCGCCGCAGGCCCATCCACTCACCTGAAATGGTATGCAAAAGAGTCCTATTATCACATCGGCAAAGGCCAAATTTGCAATGTACATGTTCGTTACGGTACGCATTTGTCTCGTGGTTGCCACCACCCAGATGACCAGGGTATTCCCGATGACAGCCACAATGCTGATGCCGCCATAAAAGATGGACAGCAGTGCCACAATTTCTGCGGGTGCGGCATACAAACGTTCTGCAAATACAAAGAAGAAAAATGTGGAAAGAGAAGATGAGAAATAGTTGTAAGAAAATTGTCCCCCAAATATGTTGGTGTGTCCGGATTAATGAAAGTGTCATCTGTCAGTCATTCTGTCAGCGCAGAAGCGGTTTACACTAGAGGAAATTGAATTTCTGGTACACAATATTACTCGTATATCATCTACAGAGTTTTTTTTTTGATTAACTTTAGTCACCTTTCACTCATCTGAAATTCATTCGATTAAATCGGAAAAGTTTCCTGCCTCAGTCCATGAATAATGCAAGATCAAAGAAATATGGCCAAAGGGCCGGGGCGGGAATTGTCCAAACAGCAGCTAAACATGCCAATGTTTTTGATTGATGCGAAACTTTATGTCACGGGGGTGGCCTAAGGGACTAATGGGGGTATATACTTATTTAGTTACTTACCAAACTCTGCCTCCTCCTCGGCACCTGGCAGAAAGTCCAGGCGTGGCTCTTGCTCTATTAGTTCCATGGCCATGAAACTCTGTGTTTGTTTTGTATTTTTATTATTTCCTCAGAAAATAACTTTCCTCAGCTTTAACTTCCTCAACTTTGTTGCTGGCGTTTAGCTTTGGGGATTATTTATGATGTGGAATGCATTTTATGGATGTCTCATCATCATCATCAATGCTGCAACCTGCCAAAGTCGCAAGGAAAACCAATCAATTTACAAGGCAAATTAAATGAAAAGCCATTAATTCAATGTTTCGAACTATTTTTTTGATGTGAAACAGCGGAAAATGGCAAACAAAAGCTACCTCAAGCCACCTCTGGCACATTCCAACACATTTTTCAAGCGCAGAGTGGGGCGTGAATGAGTAATGGTTCTGGTAGATTCACCTGCCAGCTTTCAGTATGTGAACGGTTTGCATTCTATAATTAAGAAAATGCAGAATCCCTCTCACCCACCACCTGGCACATTCGTGTGGGTTTCTTGTGTAAAAATGACGCCAAAGCTGTTTCGTTTTATTCTTAGAGTGGCCCTAAAAATTAGGCTCTCAGCTAAAGTTTTGAGTTTTATGGGCCACTGATAAGTGGCTTGGTTAACATTGTACCGGGGCGACTTGTTAATTTATTCACTAAAGAGTCAACATCATGGTTGATAGACTTGTTAATTAATTGGGCAACTAAATGGCTCTTTTATGTATATTCGATTCAGAATTGTTGTAGGTGAAACCTTGTTTGTTTGAGTGTGAGAAACCATACCAGATGTGGTTTAAATTATAACAAATTAGCGGCTCAATTACACTCTTTTAAATATTCTTTCTTTCCAACTAATTCCACAAATCAAATTACATTCCTTCCTTTAGTTTCCTTACTCCACTCTCTCTTTATATATTTTTTAGGCACCACTCTAATGCCGTATGTACCACATTTAATAAGAGCCATGCGTAAATTGTGCTCCTGTTTCCTCCTGTCGGTGCAATTCTAACATATGTGGTGATATTTTCACTGAAATGATGACCCCTTGTTAGAAGTTTTCCTTAGAATTGCCTTTTGCCATGTTCTACCCTCCCGAAATGCGAATCCCCAAAAAGCCAGCCAAATCCTAAAATTAGAACCATTGCCGTAGCTCAACCGTTGCTGGAGAAGATAATATGCCAGCTTAGGACCTAATCCGATACGCTGCAGACGGAAACTCTCCTCTCCACTGTAAAAAACTACGAGTAGGACAGGGCTGTGTGTGTCGTCGCGTGGCGTGTTTCTGCCACCTCAGCCACTAACTAATTCTGTTTTTGGCGTTGCATCAGCGTGAAAAACGTAAATGGCTCCGACCACAGTGTGGCGTGGTATTAGCGCCTCCACTCCGCACACTATGAAAAAGTGGCATAACATAACATAAAGCGGCGGCAATCTGCCACTCAGAAAATGCAATTAGTCTGGGGGCCAGATTTTCTAATTAACTTCAACGAAAATCCTCTTGTTCTTTTGTTTGATGATGCCTTGATGTTTTGATGTTTGGTTTTCCTTACATTTTCAATGGTTAACTTGAGGTTCATTTAAAGGTGTGTCTTCAAGTATTTTTTTTCGTCCCAATTAAAATCACTTGAGTACAAAAAAAACCGAAACAGGACTCATGTCAACAATTAATTTGTGAAATTCACACACTCTTGACTTCACTTTGCACAGGAGAAGGTCCTTCTCCTGCTCCTCCTCCCTCCTTCTTCGCATTGAATCGCACAAAAAATTGAAAAATGTGAATAGGATTTGATGGATGCTCAAGCAGCCGAATGATATTAAAAGTGTATCCTATTAGATCGTACATCAAAGTGAAATTTTCATATTAGATTGGGAAACCTGTGCCAAAGGGCCATCTGGGGGGACAGTTGTGATATGGAAATGTCTCTCTTGTGGATGGTTTTTTTCTTCTTCTTTTTAAATAAGACACACGACACATAAGCTGGTATCAAGAGAGACATTATGTGGCAAGGCTTAGACTGGCAACCTTCTACTTCCCTTTGCAAAAAGTAACAATACAAAAGGCAGAAAATATAATGAAAAATAAAGGGGCAGTTGTTATGGGAATTTGGGAAGGTTAAGAATTAAGCGTGTCTCACAGGATTTTCTTTGTTTACAATGCCAATGGACTCTGGACTAAGCCTAAGCTTCCAACGACATGTCGGGGTACCACCTAGAATCAGTCGATTGTTATGCTTTCTGCTCTTTGATAGGTCTTTTGGGGCCACAGAGAATGGGTGCCGGAGGGAGTCTCTGTCTATATTTAAATAAATAATCACTTTGTTTTTGGGCTTTAATTGTAATTAGAAAATGTTTATAGGCAATGCTTTGGGTATAAATTAGACATTTCCATCAGAAACGATACGGGATTGGGGTTTGAATTAGTCAAGATCAAATCTTTAGTCATTTATTTCTCATTAGGAGAGCACTTAAAAGACTGTAGAATTCCTGCCAATGCTGCTGGTTCCGCAAAAACTGTAGGTCAAGGAAACACAGAATTCCACTCTTCATTTAAGTTTACTTTATCTAGTTTCTAGTTTCTCGACATTTCTTAATTGTTTGCCCTTGACATTGGGTTTTCCTTTCCTTTCGATTGCCATTTCTGTTGTCTTTTAACTCAATTTCGTTCCACTGGTTTTTGTGAACCCCTTTTTTGGGTCCAGCTTCTTGTTTGAACCACTTAAAATTCCCGCGAGATTGTCTCCTGCCTGTCCCTCTTTCAATTATTATACAATTTCTGTCCTCTTGAGTATTTTACACCGCAAAGAGCAGCAGAAGAGGAGGAAAATTAGTGACAGAGAAGAAGACTCCTCAGCAGTGGAGAAACATTTTTTGGGGAAAAGTAAAATCAGTAAAGGAGCTTGGAAAATTTCATTCAAAATGTATAAGTGTAAAGTGTAATGTCCAACAGGGCTGGCTAATTTATGCCAATTGCTACGATATGATGCTTACCACCAACCGCAGACCCAGATGTTGGAGGAAGGTGGGCGACGACCAATCTACCTTGAAAAATGTTTGCGCAGAATGCAGCACAGCTTTCTTTTTAAGGCTCCTTTCTGCCTTCTGCCCTTCTGCAATTTTCCCACAAAAATTATCCATCAAAAGGGACTAGTTAACAGTCTCCCATTATGACCGCACTTCATTTTGACAGTTTCCGCTGTCTTTTGGGATAACATCCTGTCAATTTGTGGTAATAATAATTTGCACAAGCCAATTTCTGGGTTGATTTAGACGTGGGTGTAGACAGGTCTTTCCCAGGAAATTAGCAAGGCGTGAAGTCTTAATCAGTTTTGTTAATTGCATTATTTCAAACCAGAGCAGAGCAGAGGATTGATTTTCTGGAAAAGAATCCCTAGATTTTGCAGACACGTGTCTCCTTAACGTAAGGTTTCGGTTTTTCCTAAGATATTTACAATTGTTTCCTGACGTTCCTTGACGTAAAACCGACATTTCCTGAATGGAGAAATGCTAAAACATTCAAGCAATTCGATTCACAAGAATCTCTTACCAGTTGCCACTGTATTTGTAATGTATTCCGCAGAAAATAGAGTAGGCAGTCCCGGACCTATTTCTGTCATTTTTTCTGTGAAATCTCTCACTTTTAGATCTTAAACAGATTAAATTTTACAGCAGTTTGAGAGTTATTTGTTTTTTCTTGTCGTTTTTTAAGTTGTAGAACTCGGAGTTGCATTTTAATTCTTATTTGCTACGGACATTTCTCCTCTCTTTTCATGGCATTACTTTAATTACATTACTTTACATGGCATGGACTTTAATTGTAATTCACTTTCAGTAACAAGTTCTTAACTTTCATATGTTGTCTAGACGCAAATATTGAACTTTTTCTTCGCTTCTGGTTTATCCACTTACTCCACATTTTCTGTATTTTTCACAGCTTCTCAAGCTTCCATCCGAAAGTCCCTTCCAAGCCTACCCTCTGCATTAATAGTTCATAAGTTGTCTAGACGCAAATATTGAACTTTTCTTCGCTTCTGGCTTATCCACTTAATCCACATTTTCTGTATTTTTCACAGCTTCTCAAGCTTCCATCCCAAAGGCCCTTTCATGCCTTCCCTTTGCATTAATAGTTCCTAGTTCTTAAGCCATTGATGTTATGTTTTTATTCGCTATCAACACAGCACGAGACCATCTTTAATCCCAATTCTAATCCAATAAAAAAACACCATGAAAATGGATAAAGGAAGGAAAATGAAAAGGGCAAACACGGAAACAAAAGCAGGGCATTAAGTCGATTTTTTGGCAACAATTGTGGTATTAATGTAATTGTAATGAATGTGAATGTTACCCGTAGGTGCTGTATTGTGCTGTAATCACAGAGGATATTCCCCAACGATGAGGAAGGAAACACACGCACTTTCTAATAAGGATTTTGCTGCTTAAACGAAAACCCTTATTTCACACTCATTGGAGTTTTAGTTAATTGCTAGAACACCGACCCCTTGGGGCCAACACTGAATTATCTCGAATCTATTTGAATTTAACACTTTTCTCGCACTCAAGACTTTCGCCTTGCTTCTCCAGACTTTCGCTTTGCTCCTTCAGACTTTCACCTTGCTCCTCCCGACTTTCGACTCAATTTCAGACTTTCACTTTTGCCGCTTTTTCAAGATTTCACTTTCCGTTGGACGAGCAGCGTTGCTCCCTAATGTAGTCCTTGCTGTGCGAGTATCCTTTATCAACTGTTTTTGGCAGGAGTTGTCTCGGCGCACAACTGTTGAACCCCCCAAAAAACGAACGACACACACGAGGTGCATGCGAGCGCCGAGCCGAAGGAATTGTTAAGGAGAATCGAGGGAAAAACTCAAGTCGTGCCACTCGAGTGGGGCCGTCAAGTTCAAAACACAACAAGTTGCACTTCAAACTTGTTCAACGTCGAACAGGTTGCAAGCGCCGTTCCCCAACAAAAAGGCAAACAAAATAATGTAAGGAGAATATGAAAATATGAAGCATTTTTGCCCTATAAATTTATGATGCTCATTTCCATTTTGATGCAGCAAAGTTTATGCTGATGAAGCTAAGTGAAAAATTAGTCAGAGAGTGAGAAACACAGAGAGAAGAAAGTAATAACCAATTAAAAGAGTGTTTTCTCCAAGAAAAATATATTGTTTTTCCATTGGGGAAACCCCTCACCAGGCGTAGGAGAAATTCCTAGTAAAG